AAATCAGGAAATATGTGTGTATGTGTGTGTTTCTACATATACAAAGAAAAATGCCCACGCACAAGCTTATATGTGAATGCACACACATTTATTTTGATGATGATGATGATGTGTTGTCCAGTTCACTACAACTCAAAGCAACATTGTGAACAACAAATCTGAACCCTGCCCTAGCCTGTACCATCTCTGACCTGCTTGAGCCCATTGGTAGGATCTTCTCTTTTTCCGACCCTCTGCCTTTCCCAACATGATGTTTTTTACCATCATGGACTGGTCCTTTCCGACAACATGCCTAAAGTGAGTGACTATCCTTGCCTCTGAGGAGCACTGTGGTTACACTTGCTCTAAGACAGATTTATTTGTTTTTTTGGCAATCCATGGGATATCCACTATCCCTCTCCAGTACCACAATTCAAAGGCACTGGTTCTTATTTGTCATCCTTATTCATCATCCTCCTTTCAAATGTATAGGAAACAATTGCAAATAACCTGGATCAAGCACATTTTAGTCTTTACTGAACGTACAAATATATGCATGTATTTGAGAAATCAGGGTTTCATATCAATATCACTACTTCCTTTTTATCCCCTTAAGATTCTTGATTTTCTTTTCCCCCATTCCCTGTATGTCCCATCTTCCATGGTAAAAACACACTTTGTAGCTCCTGGTAATTTCATAACTCCTGGATCTATAATAAAGCATTTGGCTGCTAACCAAAAGGTTTGTTGTTGTGTACCACTGAGTTGGAATTGACCCATACCTGACCCTTCAATGGGTTTTCAGAGGCATTAAATTGCATGGGAGGAGAAAATACCATTCTCTCCACAGGAGAAAGATAAGACAGTGTGTGTCCATAAAGCCACAGGTTAAAGTGGTTGTTATGTGCCTTCAAGTTGCCTGCGGCTCATAGAGACCCTATGTGCAGCAGCTCTGAACTTTGCAATATCCTGAGCTAATCTCATTGTCTCCAACACACTTATACCCATTACTCCAGTCACTGAGTCAATTCATCTCATCCAGGGTCATCCTCTCTTGCGCTGTCCCTCCACACTTGCAAGCATAATATGTGTCTCCAAGGACTAGTCCCTCCTTGCAGCATGTCCAAAGTATGTCAGACACAGCTTCAAAATCCTTGCCTCCAACCTGGTTTTACCCTTTCTAGGACAGACCTGTTTGTTCCCTTAGCAGTCCGTGATAGATATATTCAGTACTCTTCTCCAGCAGCACAACTCAAAGGTATCAGTTCTCCTTCTATAATCCCGCTTTCTGATAGATATCAATTAATTGCAAAGACCATGGCCTGGATCAAGCACATCCTAGTCTCCAGACAGATACTATGGCTCTTCAGTACTCTGGAGAGGTCCCTGACAGCAGATTTTCCCAAGGCAATTCATCTTTTTATTTCCTGACTGCTGGTACTAAGAGTGTTGATTGTGGAACTAAGCAAGCATTATGGAACTAAGCAAGCTGAAGTTGTTAACAATCTCAGTCTCTTCACCATCTATCCTGATTGTGCCAATTGGCTCAGTGGTGAGAGTCATTGTTTTCTTGATATTGAGTTTCAATCCATACTGAAGGCTGCAGTCCATGACCTTCTACAATAAATGTCTCAGTCCCTCCTCAGTTGTGGCAAGCAAGCATAATGCAGGTTGTTGATGAGTCTTCCTCCAATTTTGATGCCACATTCTTCCTCATAGAGCCCAGATTATTGGATGATCTGTTCCACATGCAGATTGATAAGATAAGGAGATCTTCAGTAAGGTTAATCCTTACCTATTCTCCCCTTTGGAGGAATATTATTGGAACTAGCATGATACATACATAATTAACATCTCTGTGTAAGCAGGACTTGAAAAAATGCTGTTTGCTCCTGTCTGATTTCCTGGGGCAGGGGTGAGGAGGAAGAAAAGATATGGAGATAGGAGGCATTCTCGGAGTACAGGTTTCTTCATTTTGAACCATGCAATGTTTCCTTGCTCTGATATGACTGACAGCTGCCTCCTGGTCTAAGTATAGGTTTTGTGTAAGCACAGACACAGTTAAGTGTGATCCACACAGTCAAATGCCTTTGCATAGCCAATGAAATACGTTGATAGACATTCCTCTGGTAGTCTCTACTTTCAGCTAAGATCTATCTAACATTAACTATAATGTCCCTAGTGCCACGGCCTCTTCTAAACCAGCCTGCACATCTGACAGTTGTCTATGGATATGCTGTTCCACACTCTGTTGTTTCACCATATTTTGGAATGGGAACAATATGGATCTTTTCCAGTCACTTGACCAGGTGTTGTCTAATAGTGACCCTATGAACAGCCAACCTGAATCCTGCCTAATTCTGTGCCATCCTCATCATCTGTGACACACTAGAGCCCATTGCTGGAGTCACTTTTGTTGGGAGTCTTCCTCTCCTTTGCTAACCCTTGATTTTTTTATCTTTCCAAGCATGTTATCTCTTTCTAAGGAATAGCTTCACTTATGAGAGGTGAAGCCTCACCATCTTTGCCTCCAAGGAGCACTCTGGCTGCATTTTTTTTTCAAAGGCATACTTATTTATTCTTTAAGCAGTCTATGGAATATTTAGCTCCCTTCTCTAGCAACGTAACTCAAAAACATCAGTTCTTCTTCTGTCATCTTTATTAATTGTCAAGACCTCAAGCCTGGTTTTTATTGGTTTGGGTCAAACATTCTTCTAAGTGGTATAGCACTGGTCTGTCCATTTGCTGTACAGAGGTAACTTGTGGTTGCTAACACTGACACCAATGTGTCAAATGTGATAATGGCTACCCATGGTGGACAGTGTTTGGTGGAGCTCCCCAATTAAAACAAATTTGGAAGCAGGAGTGGCATCCACTTCCGAAATATCTTACCTGCAGAAACTCTAGGAACTTGGAGAAACGATGTAAGCTATACAAGTGTTCCACTCTTTTCTGCACTATGAGTCAGCTACGACTTGATGGCACTTAACAACAATGACTTTGATGTGAAGTAAATTATTGAGAAGGCACACCTTAGTTGTTGAACTGACATCATTGCTCTTCAGCATTTTAGAGAGGTCCCTGACAGTGGTCTTGCCCAGTACAATACATCTCCTCATTTCCTAATTGCTGGTACCAAGAATACTGATCCAAGCAAGATGAAATCGTTTATAGCTTCAATTCTTCTCCATCTATCATAATGTTGACTGTCCTGTGTGTTTTTATATTCTTTGAGAAACTTTTGCTGTATCTACCATCTAAACTTTGAATGCTAGACATTTGACTGTGTGGTAAACATTGAGAGTTTCACGGTATACACATCAAAAGTCTTCTAAAAATATAAAAAGAGCCTATAGACTTGGAAAAAATCTGGCAATCACACATCTGATAATGGACTAATCTCTTAAATTATAAAATACTTCAGCACCTAAACAAGACAACTAATCCAGTTGAAAAATGGACAGATAGCATAGACATTTCACTAAAGAAAGATACAGGCAGCCAGCAAACACATGAAGAAATACTTTGGTCATTAGCCATTCTCCACTGCCATCTAGTTGGTTCTAACTCATTGCCACTTTCTATAAAATTTCGAAGTCTGTAAATCTTAATAGGAGGAGAAGACCCATTTCTGTCTCTAAGAGCAGCTGGTGGATTCAAACCACATCTTTTGCTTAGCAGCTCAATGCATCACACATTATTTTTAGAGATACTAATCAGATGCCAGTGAAATATCTCACCTATAATAATAGCAAATTCAGAAAACAACAAATATTGGTGGAAGTATGGTGAGGTTGGAACATTCATACACTGCTAGTGGGAATATAAAATGATACAAACACTGTGAATAATTGCACGGCACTTGCTTAAAATATTGCATATAGAAATAACTTGTGATCAAGCTATGAAACTTACTAGGTATTCATCACAGAGAAATAAGAGGTGTGGCAAGATATACACATACCCATGTTACTCAAGTGTTATTCACAGTAGCAAAGAGATGAAAGGGAGTCTTTAAGAGTTTGTGAGTAGCAATTAAAGATAGTACTATTGGTTTCTTTCCATCTGGAGCAAGGAAGAGTGAATAAAGTCAAAAGACTCAAGGAAACAACTTGTCCAGAAGACTTATAGACCAAGTGAACCACTAGCCTGGACCAGTAGAGCAAGATGGTGCCTGGTTACCATTACCAATTGCTCTAATTGGGATCACAGCAGAAGATCCTGGATTGAGTGGGAGAAATACATAGAGCACACTTAAAAATCATAAAAATGACTAGACTTTTCAGCCTAGCTGACACTTGTAGATCCTTTATTTCTATGGCCCTCCAATGTTTGCCAAAGTTGGCACTAAGCCCTACCCACTCCTAGAGATGACTTTATAGTCAACAAGAGTCAGATGTGTGAAGTGAGAAATGTGCTCATCAGAACAGTCACATGTGAGACCAACAGGACAGCCTTAGCCCCCAAACAAAGGCCAGAATGGAGAAAGGGGCAAGACAAAAGGACAATTGGATATGGTGAATCCGGGGAGAAAGTGGGAAGCCTATATGAGGGTGTTATATGAGGGGGTTACATGAGGGGGTTATCTGAGGGGGTTACAAATAGTGTCACAACACAAAATGTGCATAAACTGTAAAGAAGAAACTAACACATTCTGTAAACTTCCACTCAAATCACAGTAAAGTGTTTTAAGTCATTTAACTACCCTTGCCTCAGAGAAATTATACCATTTTTTAGACCATACCAACTCAAAACCTCTGATTTTATTCTTTGTTTCTTACCTCTGCACATTTTACTTGGCAACATTTTCCTGAGTTCTCTGAGGCCTACCTCACTCCTGTCTATGCCTTTGCCTCTTGGAAGCATAAGTGGTTTTTCAGGAGCCATGAAAACCAGAGAAATAGAGGCCTTACCAGGTAGTAAAATAGAAATGTTTGGGGAGAAAATCTAAAGAGGCAAAACTACCAATGTGATTTATTTTTTTTACTTCTGGTGTTTTTTTGGGTTTTTTCCCCCCACAGTTATGATACCTTCAACAAAGCCATGCTTCCTATAGATGTCCCTGCCATTGTTCATGGCTTACCAGAAGAAGACAGACTGGAAATCTCTGAACGGTACTTGTTTTGCCTTTGGCATATAATGTGTCTTGTTTCCCATAAACAAGTTGGTTGCTATCAGGGGTTTCAAAGGAACACATGATACTTGAGCCTAAAATCCACATCAGGCCAACATCCAGTCAGTACCAGTTGCCATTTGCTAGATTCTATCTCATGTTTACTCCATAGTGTTTATTGGAAATAGTCTTATCTTCTGAGGTAGGTCCAGGTGGACTTGAACTACCATTCTTTCTGTCAGCAACTCATTAACCATTTTCACTCCCCAGGGATTCCATACCATTAACTAGATAAGATGTTAGATTTGTTGCAGAAAATTGAGGTATTCTAAGGTATAAAATAAAAATGCACAGCTGTCAAATCAATTTTGTTTTGTGGAAACCCGCGACTCACCTTCCTAGGCTATAAATCTCTGCAGGAGAAGACTGTTCATCTTGCCTCCTGTGGAATGCCTGGTGGATTCAAACCACTGACCTTTCAGCTAGCAGCCCATCATAGTACACTATACCATCAGAGTGCAGGATTAGGTAGGATTCCATCTTGTACAAAAGGCTACTGTGAGTTGAAGCCAACTCGATAGCATCTAACCACAAAGTATAAAATATTCTGTTTTCTGGGTCTCTTCTAAGAGTTCAAGGAAAGGGAGACCAGAAGTACTTAGCAAACTTCAGTGACAGCGTGGACTGGGGACCAGACTTCAGTGGTAGCGTGGACTGAGGACTAGGCTTCGGTGACAGCTGGACTGGGGACTGAGCTTCAGTGATAGATAGCATGAACTAGAGACTGAGCTTGAAAAATGATGATGATGAGTAGTATTTAAGAAGGCATAAAATATAATATTTTAGGGCATTATTTTTATCGTAGGAGTATGC